AATTACTGCACGCAAAAATGGATCTTGATAAATTCGGCCCTGTGTGTACAAAATGACAAAGTTTGTCTAAGTCTAAGTCAAAGACACGGAAAAGGTATTGTTCTCTTAAATCACTGACAGAAGTGAATGATAAATTAAACAGAATGCTGATTTTCGAATACATTTCTAGTTATATTGTGCACTTAAAAGATTATTTTGTAAAACATAATTTAAACTTTTTGCATATTCCTATCTAAATTTAAGACATTTGACTACTTTTCCGTATTTCTTATCATAAAAATGCATCATTCCTTAAATGCCCTGACCTCTTGCAGACCTTTTTTAGATGTTCTGCTTATAAAAGTAGAATATTAACCACCATTCCTAGACTTTTGTTTTATACTTTCCCCTTAAACTGTTGGACTTTCTTGTATTTTTTTTTTTATTGTTCTTCAGGCAATGAAGATTATCATAGGTTTATAACCCCAGGAAAACGTGCATGCGTGTGTTTCCTACCCGTCTTGTTTTCATGTCTAAACAACACAAATTGAATGAATCAGCCTCTACATGTAAGCCAATTTAACAAGCATCAACTAACTGCTGCTTTTAATCACTACTGCGACTTAAAAAACACCCGTCCCACTTGAACTCTGAGTGCCTTCAGGTTTCTGTGTTATATGAGTAGAGTTTCAGTTCTTGCATACCGGTGCGACCTCTGCTCCAGCCAGCTGTGAGCAAAGAAGCAGGTCCAAATGACTGCAGTCTAAACACAGGGAATGTTGGACAGTGCCTGTGAAATTTTCTGAGTGGGGACAGGAAGTTTTGCTGCTCCAGTAGAGAGGGAGAGAGAGAGAGAGAGAGAGAGAGCACTGTTGATGTGGAACGGCGTGTAATGAAAAAGGTGAACCGTGCACTGACACTCGCTTTCAATGGGGGGGGGGGAGTCTGCTCTGTCTTGCACCACCCTGCAGCATGCCACAACCACAAAGGGGTCTTTACATGGGAGTGACTCTGAACCTTGCTGTTGGGGTGAGGTGGCAGAGCACAAACTGCTTGGTCATTTCCACGTCACACTATCAACAGCTAAAACCCTGGATGTTGCAACTCATGCAGAATCTTACTAACTGCAGAACACCAGTTTATAAGGGCAGTCTAACAGTATATCAGGGTGGATTTATAGTTTTATCTTGCTAAATACACTCTGTAGTCTCTTATGTAGTAAATGACAGCACCTGAGCTAAATGACAGACATAAAAGACACAAGAAGACAGTTATTGACAAAGCATACAGACACTTTTCTGACAGCTCTAATGTTCTGCATTGCTAAATGTATATTTCCCCCGCTTCATATTATTTCAAATTTTGAAAAAAAAAATCCACTTTAACAATTCATCAAGTAAATAAGAAGTCAGATGTTTTGTCATTTATATAGTAAATTAGATGTACACCAATTATCTCAGCTTATTGCATCTGCTGTGTTTAGGGGGGAAAAAAACACTTGAGTTGACATTCGTGAATATTCACAAACCACTGAGGCATATGACACGTTTGATCATCTGCTCATAACAAAATCGCTTTTGCACCATTTATCATCTTGTTACAAAATGCTTTTAATAGCTGCCTCTTGTTTAATGTAAATCTTATGTGGAGACAAATTAAGCACCAGTCGCCCAGGCCTGTTTTGCATGTGACTGTACTGCAACAATCCAATTTGGTTTTGCATACAAATAGTGCATAGATGTCAAAAATCTCTAATAAACATTAGATATAAGAACGGAAGATCAGAGATGAACCATTTAATCAGCTAGGAATTTGAATTGAACATTTTATTTATCACCATCTATAGGTTAAATACGGAAAAGGTTGATTTTTTTTTGCCCCCATATAAAGTGCATCGAAGCAAAGGGCTCCCAGCAATTTAGATCTATCAATGTATTAACCAGCGCAGGTAGATTAAGGGCCTCCTTCATTTTATAACAATAAGTCAAAGGTTAGGGACGCAGGCATTAAAGCACAAACAGGGATGATTTTGTAATTCTAATTTTCTGTTGGAGATAAAGATGAAACCCAACTAAATATTTACCTTAACTTCAGTGAAATAAAATTTAAAAAACAATTTGTCTCTGATTTAAGTGCGATTTTAAGTTACTCTAATTACTTCAGTTAAGGTAAAAAAAATAAATAAATAAAAAAAAACATCTTTAAAAAATTCAACAAACACACCTTTAAAAGTTATGTATTTTGTAATAAATAAAACTTTAAATACTCTAATTTTATTTTCTGTTTGCCAAGCCTGCTGTACCATTTGGAGGTCCAGTGATTATACAGCAAACAGTATTTGGAGCCAGTGGAAGTCCTCCTTAGATTAACATATAAACATTTGCTATTATAATATATATTGATATACATTAGGGCTGCAACTGACGATTATTTTGAAAATCAGTTAATCTGTCAATAATTGCTTCTATCACTCCATTCATAATCACATAGCGAACAATTCTTTAAAGAAGATTTTTTACAAAATTAATACAGGGGAAACTAAAACTTTTCCATTTCAGGAATTGGGCATATTCACAGACTTCTTAAATATATTATCTTAAATGAAAAATGTCTATATAATTTTTACAATCTTGGTGTAATTACTGCTCAAAGTGGGTTTCTCTGTCAGCTATAGGCATATTTTAGATACTCTATACTAACTCTATAACTATAACTCTATACTAACGATTAATCAATTACTAATTTAGATGATGATTTTCTCAATAATCAATTAATCCGATTAATTGTTTCCGATTAATTGATTAATTGTTTTCAACCAATTTAAATCTGTCTCTCTCTCTCTCTCTCTCTCT